AAAGGGACTTCTAACCCAAATATGATTTGGATTAGCAACTCCTAATCTGATTAGGAGCTGATCCCTTTAAGATTATAAAAGAAGAAGGGGGCGGCAGCCTTTAAACAGAAAACAGATTTCCTCTAGTGCAAAAAATCAAGAAGAGAGAATTCTGCTCCCTGCTCTTGCCACCTTGTTTGCCAGTTCGATCTCCAGTTGTGGGAGAAGTCAAGATTGGATCTTGACGTCAGTTCTTTGAGAAAGGATTAAAAGGAAGCTGTGCTCACGTACCATCTTGCTGATCCTTGCGAAGGACAGAGTTCTTGGAGAAGAACACTGTTGATTCTGCTCCATCTGCACTGCGCCATCTTCAGTGGGAGCAGTCTTTGGTTCCTTCCTTGGGCGTGAACACCTTTGTTGGGAGATACAGTTTCTCCGTATCAGGTATAATTCTCTCCTACTCCTTTTGGTTCAGATCTGATTCAGTTTAAGGTTCAAGAATGATCCTTGAAAATATGATTTTCTAAATAGGGAATGTGATTTCCAGTTGAAGGGAGAGAAAAAATTTTGAAATTCGCCCCTTATTCCGCAATCTTTGGGCGTCCATGGGATGGATCTCTCATCCCTTCAGAAAAGACAAGATGATGCATGCTTTGGTGCTTGGCACCATTTACTGTTGTGTGGCTATTTGATCATCTGCTCAAATCATAGTTTAATGAAGAACTTCTTGATTTAACTAATGGTCCAAGTTATCCTAATTGCAACCAAATAGGAATTTAAACATGGATGTTCATATCACATATTGTCCTTGTATTTTTAGTTTGGATTATGTTTCTCTTGTTCTTTTGTATTTTTAATTTCTTAATGACAAATAACAACATTATTATGAGCATGTAGCCATGTAAGAGAATAATTAATATAAAAACGTTCTGATTTTAAAAAACTGCATATATTGATTATATTCACTTTTTTTTAACAAGAATCCCTTTTTTATCTTTAGCACCCCTGATAATGAGGGATATATTACATATGAAGATTGTTTCACAATAACATGCTGTTTTTACTATTATATGCTTACTTCTTTTCTGCTAAAATCCCAGTTAGTTGACTCGTCAACTTTGAAGAAAGAGGTGGCTGAAGGGGTTGACCTCATGGTTGTCAGAGAGCTTACTGGAGGTTAGGTTTCTATATGTTACTGACAATACTGCTGTTTTTAGATAACTTATAACAACTATTGTATTGAAAATTTCACCATTTCTTTTCTTCTCTTTCTCTCTCTCTCTCTTTCATGTCACCAGGAATTTATTTTGGAAAGCCAAGGGGTTTTGGAACAAATGAGAAAGGTGAGGAGATTGGTTTCAACACCGAGGTGTACGCTACTTATGAGGTGACAGAATTGTCTTATACAGCTTACTTGTCTCATATGTAAATTATTTGTCCTGTACTGACCATATTTAAATGGAAAATATGCTGGGTGTTTGGTAACTGTATGTAGTGAAATGATTTTTTTTTTACTGCTGACATAGGCTTGCCATCTAAATTGGGATCATGATAGGAATGCCAACAAAAAAGAGAAACGAGGTCATTTCATGATTTAAAAAAAAGTCAACATTTTTATATTTTTTTAAACAAAATAAGCAATTAGTATTTTACTTCTATGAAAAGTTATGGTTTCAGATAACAATATAATCTAAACTGAAATGATTTTCTTCTATGTGCTTTCAAGCACTCCTGTGATGTTCGTTTCAAGAACTGCAGGCTTTTACCATCATAGAGATGCCCCCCATAAACGAACAATCTGTTGAAAAACATCTTAGACAAATAACACACAAGTTTGGAGTAGACTACGACAGGAAATGGCTGTCTCTCTCTTCTTGATTTGTATGCTGGAGATATTGACAGATTTGTATATTTGGCAACCATATAGGGGCTGCCATTTAAAAGATATCCCGAATCCAATTTAGATAGATAATGTTCAATATCTGAAATTGATCAAAATTGTAAGTGAAGAATTTAATGCATGCATATATGGATTTCTTATGATTGTCCAGAACGGTTGAACTTTGATCGGGTACTTCCCTAGTAATCCAAAAATTTGATTTTGGATGTGATCTTTTTTTCTTTGTTTATTATTGTTATGAAATTAACCTAATAAACTTATTGATAATCTAGAAAATATACCATTTAATTTCTCATTTTCTTTTCTTGTCAATCTTCCAAATTCAAGTTGCTATTGCCATTAAACTACCCATTTTAGCAATACTGTCTAATTTCAGCTTGCCTTCATGTTGAGATGGAAAAAGCAAGACAGTTTCCACTTGCTATTTAGATTGAGTGGTGTTTACTCCTCAATCCTCACAGTGAAATGAATTTGAGATAAAGCCCATGTTATCATTTTCTCCCTATTTGATATGCTGGGATCCAGGTAACTTGGGCCAGGTTATTTTTCAAAAGGTAAAAAGCAACACTAAAAGAACAAAGAAATTTGGTAATATGAAAAGAACAAGTTTTATTGATTTCATTTAATGCCACTCTTTAGAATATGCTCCTATATTAGCAGAACTTGAGATGGCTATGTCCTTTTGTTGTATTTTGCATCATATTTTCAAAATTCTCCTAGTTTCGATTGTATATATTCTTGGTGCTTAAGATGTGCAAGTGGAACTACTCGTCAAAAAAAAAAAAAAAAAAGATGTACAAGTGGAACTGGAATGCTTCAACAACATCAGAGCGTTCTCAATTCTTCATCACCATTCAAGCCTTATCCTAACTATATGGGGTTAGCTACATTTAATCCTGTTTCACCAGTCCGTTCTGTATAAAGCCATATCCGTTGTTAAATTATTGGCACTTAAATCATTTCATACTATTTCTACCAATGTCCTTTTTGCTCTACCTCTTGTCCTTCTAGCCCCTCAAACTTGTAACAAACCAATTCATTGTATGGGTGCTGTTGATGGTCTTCCATGCACATTACCAAACCATTTTAGTCTACTTTCTCTCATTTTATCACCTATTGGAGCTACTTCTAAGTTCTTATGAATGACTTCATTTCTGATTCTATCTAGTTTTTCCACTCATCCATCTCAATATGCACAGTTTTGTCACACTTATTTTTTGGACATATTTCTTGCCTATCCAACACTCTGCACCATACAACATAGTTGGTCTTACAACTGTTTGATAGACTTTTCCTTTTAATCAAGTGGTATTCACCTATCACACAAAACTCAGCCCAAATGCATCCCTCCATTTTGCCCGTTCAGCTCTAATTCTATGGATGACCAATGTGACATCCTCTTCAATCTCTACCTTGTTATGAATTATCAAACCAAGATACCAACAAAGGTCACATTGAGTTATCTCTTGGTCTCCAATCCTAAGTGTACCTTGATTTGCACTCCCATACATATTGTCCTACTTAATTTAAAACCTCTTATTTCTAAGGAATCTGTCCTTAAGCTTAACTTTGCATTTAATCCTTCGTTAGGCTCAGTTTGGAAGGAGTACAAATACAAATATGTAGAGTGCAAAACCTTACATTTTGTATTATTTTGTATGTATTTATATTGTACATATTTGTATTTGTACTCCTTCCATACTGAGCCTTAGTTTCATTAATTAAAATGATATCATCAGCAAGCAAAATGCACCGTGGGACCTCCTAAATATGTTTAGTCAATTCATCCATGATTTGTGCAAATAAATAAGGACTCAATGCTAAACCTTGGTGAAGACCCATTGTAACCGTAAAATCTGATGTCTCTTCCACAGGTGTTCTCAATTGTAATAAATCTTTTATGTTACTCCTTATTTTTCCTTTGGTGTTTATGCAGAAATCTTCTTTCTTTTATGTCTTTTTTCCCCCTTTGTAATACCTTTCTGTTGTAAGTTTGTACTAAAGATCGTTAGAAATGCAATCAGATTGACCGTATTGCTCATGTTGCATTTGAGACTGCTCGGAAGCGACGTGGAAAACTATGTTCTGTTGACAAGGCAAATGTTTTGGAGGTAACCTTGTAGCATTGGGGATTCTTTGCTTGTACATTCTTTTCATACATCATGTGGTGCATGTTAAAAGAACAGCTAAGAAATATTATCACTGCATATTTTCTAAACAAATGTAAATTTGGTCTTTTAAAAAGCTAATAGGTTTTTTATTTGAATATTTTCTAAGCATTGGGGATCTTCTTTGCTTGTACATTCTTTTCATACATTGTGTGGTACATGTTAAAAGAACAGCTAAGAATGTAAACTTGGTGTTCTAAAAAGCTAATAGGATTCTTTTTTATTTGTTAATGCTGAGTTACATAATGCATTGCTAGTAAACAATCAGTTTATGCAACTCTTAGATTTCTTTTTTACAGGTCAGGTGGGACTCATGAAAAGATGCCTGACTTTGTCTTGGTGTCTTTTCATGGGTCCTACATGTCTATAGGGAGAAGTTTTGAAGCGTTCCATAAACTTGTTTACTAGAATTCCGTGAGTTGCATAATACATTGGGTAATGGCCTAACCTTTCAAAATCTGGAAATCCCTTTCCATATAATTCTACCCCAATGCGTTTTTCAAAATGCCAAAATTCTTGACATATCTTATCTCAGTGGCTGGCAGAGAACACAAAAGGATAAAACAGTTCAGTGGTGTTTTGGAGTTTATGTCCAATAATGAAAACATCTTGGCTTATTCTTGTCATTTTCTGCTGTGCAGGCAGCAAATCATTGGTTGAAATTGGATTTTGGTTTTGGTTGTTCATCTTGTGTTACCTACCTTTGGATACTCTATGCAGGGACTATTGGTTCTGAATATTTGATAAATCACCTTTTATCTTTTATGAGTGTGTGTCTATATATAGTCAATGTTCCATGTTACAGACATATTCTATAGGGTGTGATTACCATGTAAAATGCCCACCTTTGCTGTTTTAGCCATTCTATGAGTTGTCTACCATTAGGATAGGGGTGATCATTCTTGGCCCAGCCCGGACCAGCCTGCAACTTTCTGGGCCTGGACCCAGGTTTTTGTGTGCAAGCCGGGCCTGGCTTGGGCCTGCATCAAGCCCAAAAAATTCTGGGCCGGACTTGGGCCAAATACTTCAAGCCCAGCCTGTAATATGATATAATATATCTTTAAATATACATTATATATTATACATATTATATATTATATTTTATGTTATATATATTTTGCATATGTTATATTTCATGTGTGAACACTAGAGCCAACTCAAGTATGTGAATTGTCCTCCTAGGCAAGGCTTTATATTGATGAAGGCAATGCCTTCATTCTCATTGCCTAAGCAATGTGGGACTTGGAAAAACACTCAATGGTAGCACTCACTATTTAGTATTGTTCCAAGTTCCACATTGCTCAAGAATGGGAAGGGGAAGGCCTTGCCTTCATCTATAAAAGGATAGGTAAGCCAAGCCAAACCAACTCTAGGAATTAAATGAGGCCCATGTCTTTTTTCTTCATGGACCCAAAGCCCAATTTAACTTGGGCTTGTGCCATGTTTTTTTGCATGTATTATATTTTGTTTAATTAAAAAATTTAAATAATTAATTTTTTATTATTGGATATCATGGGCCCAAACCCATTGCTCATTAGGCCCGGAAAGCCCATATGCCCAAACTGGTCCATGATCACCCCTACATTAGGACTTCCTCCCCCTCATTCTCGTCTTCCCCCAAAAGATGGTTGCCGTCATGGTTTTGTAACTGATTCCTTTGTACTGCTAATGTAGGAACATATGATAAATACATAGTCAAAAAACACAAAAAAGAAACTAAATAAGTTTATGTCATTTGGAAATTGGCAGGCATCAATGCTATGGAGGAAAAGAGTGACAATGGTTGCCTCTGAATATCCAGACATTGAGCTCTCACACATGTATGTTGACAATGCCGCAATGCAACTTATTCGTGATCCAAAGCAGGTACAAAACTTTTCATTTCATTTATTTGTTCTTTCTCTACTTATAACATTTGGGGTTTTGGAAGTTCAATGAAAGTAACAGAATAACAAAAGTCTTGTGCACAGTGATAGAAAATGGTTTTGATCTTGAAACTTGATGGAAGACAGTATCTCATGCTGGCTTAGTTTTAATTATTGCAGTTTGATACAATTGTGACAAACAACATCTTTGGTGACATTTTGTCTGATGAGGCTTCAATGCTTACTGGGAGTATAGGAATGCTTCCATCAGCAAGTCTTGGTGAATCGGTATTTGCAGATTCTAGAATTTTTTTTACAATTTCAAAATTCTATTTTCTTGGTATTATATACATTGTCTAAAAGCCTCCCAACTTTTCTCGTGACAATTGACTGAACTCTAATACCTTTTGTATTATCTATTTAGATTTACTATCTTTGATTCCGTGCTTTTCCTGCAGGGACCTGGACTTTTTGAACCTATCCATGGTTCTGCTCCTGATATTGCTGGACAGGTAATACTCTTGTTATATTCATATTTCTCATTGCTACAAGAAAATGCATTTATTTATCCTGTGGTTGTTGCTTAGTCACAATAGCTGTCTAAAGTTAGCCACCACCAGTCCATAAAATTCTTGATGCTTTACTTGTATAAGACCAATTTATTGTCAAAATCAGTGATTTAAAAGGCTTGCCTAGGCCCCAAGTGCAGCACTTTCGAAAGGCATGCGCCTGGTGCACCTTGCACTTCAGCCCAGGTGTGCACCTTTTTCAAAATTTGTGCTTTTTTGCTATTTTTAAGCCTAGCGGTTGGGCCAAGGGCTCCGCCCCCAGACCCCCAACCAAGCCCCTTGAGGCAAGCCCAAACAAATCCATGTTAGGGTCTTAAATTCTTAACCCCTACAAAAAATTGATTTTAAAATTTTAATTATCTTCTAAATTATATTCTATCAGGATGAATGAATAGACAACATTAGTAAATAAGGGGGCTCTTCATTCTTGAGTTTCGGTGAGCGAGCACAGCAAGCGGACATGGACTTGTTTGGGCTTTGCCTCGAGGGGCTTGGTATAAAGGTGGCTCGTAGAATCAGGAATGAAATATTTTTAACATCACATTAGTTATTTGAAATAATGCAAATGGAAAGAAATAAAAAGTTTGACATGCATGAATATGTTTTTTATGCTAATTTTATTTTATTTTGCATTTTTCACTTTGAATATGTTTTATGCTATGTTTATGTATTTTAATTTGAGTTGATTGGCTTTTTAAAACTTTTAGTTTAAAATTAAAGTTTGAATTTTTTTAATTAATATTATTTTAAATATTTTCTTAATTTATTTTGATTTTTTACTTTTTTTTTGTATTTTGCATTTTTTTATTTTTTTCCAATTTTGTGCATTCCTTCAAAAAGGTGCACACCTCGCCTTGCACCTTGTGCCTTGGGCGCAAAATGGCCATTGCACTTTTTTTGTGCTTTGCGCTTTTGAAACACCGGTCAAAATAGACCTATTTATTGATAGGAGCTTATGCATATTCTTCTTCCCATCTGAGATGCGCCTAGAACAGGTGAGGCACATTTTAGGGTATGTGCCTTGCCTAGGTCCTAGCCGCAGCATTTTCAAAAGGCGCATGCCTTGCTTTTTTAATCTTCTTGGCATTTTTTGTATTTTTGCGCCTTGCTTCAAAAAGGTGCACACCTTGCCTTGCGCCTCGGGCGCAAATTGGCCCATACACTTTTAAAACACTGTTCATGGTTCAAAATCTTGGAGCTTGTCAAAGTCGGCACTCCAATGGTTCCATCCCATTCTGCGCATTCAGTCCATCCAATTGTGTGGTGACTTAGGGTTCTACGCACCTACATTGCCATGCTTAATTGGTTGAATCACATAGATGAAGGTTCATTTTGTCCTTCATTTTCTGTGTTTTCTTCCAGTTAACAATGAGATTCAGCTGTTTAGTACAACATCAGAAATTAGCTTTTTTTTTGGGGTAATTGAAGTTGACAATTTAGTATATCTTGCCTATTATGCAGAACAAGGCAAATCCACTAGCAACGGTGCTTAGTGCTGCTATGCTTTTAAGGTATGGCCTAGGGGAAGAAAATGCTGCAAAGAGAATTGAGAATGCTGTGATGGAGACTTTGGATAAAGGATTTCGAACGGGTGACATATTCTCATCTGGAAAGGTATATGTACTTTTAGTTTACTCAATTATGTTCCTCCCTTCATCTAAATAGTCCTAACTTCCTTGAAAACAAGATTAAGTTACTAACATCCTTGATTGGTTAGGTCTAAGCATTAGTATAACAAAGCACTAACAAAAGTTTATTACCTGGAAAAGACCTTTCTTTATTATCTGTTTTCTTATTAAAGGGAAATTTTAACTATAATAAGAAGATACAATAGCTGGTGATAAGAGATCACAAAGGTAATAATAAGACACTGAAATAACTATGAACCCAATGAATAACAAGAACTCCTTATGAAGCATATCCATCATAAGTACGCTTCCAGGCCACCTAACAGGCTTTTAAACCAATGTCCCATAAGAAAAGACACTTCTTTGTTATATAATTTCAAACAAAAATCATAATCAATATCAACATTTTCAAGCGGCAATATCCTTCTATGAGTAGCTCAGTAGCAGCATATTTTCATGCCTCCCTAAACCAGTACCTCCCCAGAACTCCAAAAAATAATAAATAAATAAATAAAGTCACCTGATGTGTCCAATCTACCCCATCCAACCTCCATATTTATTCCAAATTTATAATTTCAGGTTTTTTTAATGCTCTCTCTTTTTGGCTAGGCTAGGTGATGACTATTTTTAATAAAAACCATGAATCCTAGGGTAATTTCCTATGTTCCTATTAGGATACTGCCTAACACAGGGTTCTCTTCAAGGGAGAGCCAACCTCCTCGGAAATAGAGGAGTTATTTGAACTTCAAGACTATCCCATTTGGCCATTTCTCCATCAGGTTGGTATTTATGTGAACTCATGATCTCAGATCTGATCTGGACGGGGAAGCTATAACAGAATTCATACATCTGGGACCTCACTGCCTGGTGTGACATAGCTTTCTTGAGAAAATATAAGTGGTGCATCCTGCAGCTGGGCTAGCCTGAGTTGATGCTGAGTTGAGCTTTAAACTGCTGCTGGGCCTAATTATCTATAATCTTTGCAAAAAATGCATTAAACTTCATTTGAAACATAAAAAAATCAACATATCCTTAAAAAATGGAAAAAAGAAAAGAATTTCAGAAAATAGAGGGTTTGAGCCCCTTTTTTGTCCTAGGAGACGAAGAAAAAGAACAAGAAAATAATCAACATTTGTTGCTTGTGAACATGATTTTGAGTTCTTTTTTGCTTCAGTTCAGGTTTTGAACCTCTTTGAGGGTTCAAGGCAGCATACATGTGGGTTGAACCCAAAGAAACTAGTATTTTAACACAAAAATTGAGTAATTTGGTTTTAATTCTTTATTTCTAATTAAATAAATGGTTAGGAATATTGGGAATTGATGCACTTTTGGTCTCGAGATCAGACAATAACGTAGAAATCTTGTTAGTGGACAAACTGGAATTTCTTTGCTTATATTCATAAGTTAGGCACTTAGGGTCTGTTTGATTGCTGAGAAATGGATGAGAAAAAGGAATATTCCCGAATTATTCTCCATTTCTTGTGTTTGTTTACTGGTAAACAGTGTTTTGTGATGAGAAACAAGAGGGACGCGGGATCCCAAAATTAAGTGAGCGGGGTCGCACCAAAACAGTGCGACCCCAATGAGAAAAGAAAACTAAGAAAATTACTCGGGCTTTGTCAGAGAAGTCGATCATCTCCACTCTCTCTCTCCACCACTAACCATCTTCTTCTTGTTATCAGCACCTCCACCACCGCCACCACCACCGCCGATCATCACCACATCCTCCTCCAGCATCCCAACCATAACCTCCTCTCTGTTCGCTCATTCACCCACTCCTCAGCGGAGGAGGTTGCTGCTGAGCATCGCCACCGGAAGCGCCGCCTCTGTATTGAACCCCCACTCCATGCCCTCCGCCGAGACCCTAACGCACCACGCCCGCGTCCCGACCCTAAATCACCATTGCAGAGCATAACAGAAGAGGGAGATCGACCTTACTCCTCCCAATCGCCGCTGGACGCGGACGCGGGCAACCGACCTTACCAAAATCAAAAGCAAAGAGAAGAGGGTCTCGACACAGCCCGTCATGTGATGGCGTAAGTGGCCAACAACGCTTC